GTTAGGGTTAGGGTTAGGGTTAGGGTAAGGGTTCGGGTTAGGGTTAGGGTTAGGGTTAGGTTAAGGGTTAGGGTTAGGGTTAGGGTTAGGTTAAGGGTTAGGGTTAGGGTTAGGGTAAGGGTTAGGTTAAGGGTTAGGATTAGGTTTAGGGTTAGGTTAAAGGTTAGGTTTAGGGTTAGGGGTTAATTTTAGGTTTAGCGTTTACAGCGTGTTTCTGTCTCCGCGCTGTTGTCGCCCTGTGATGACGTCAGCGACGCGGTTTAATCGGGCGCGCTTTAGTCGAGCGCGGTTTTGTCGTGCCACGCACTACTTCAAGTACCTTTAAGAGCACTGCTAGGGTCTTAAAAGTGTCTACCCCAAGTTGATTGGTACCCTGAGAAATACTGGGAAATATAGAAATGCTTACAGCAGGATGGTTAGTCAAGGATCAAGGTTTATTTGAGACAGCTCTACTTCTTGAAAGCACTTTTCCATGCCAGCCAAGCTACATGTTCCAGAGCACTGCTAAATTTAGAACTTTTAATTATGAGAATGTTCAAGTTCATTAAAGTAACAGAGCTGGGTGCTTGAATGTTATGCATCAGACTTATTCACCTTAACGGCTCACTGAAACTTTACCCCCATTCCCAAATCATGGGCCATGCGGGTTGGGGCTTAGAGGAGTTGTAGTACCTCAAAAATCTGGAAGACAATTTATTGGGGAGAGCAATGACTCACTTTCTCCTGAGCTGTTTCCTAAATCTAGATCACAGAAGGCTAATAGCTAAGGCAAATCAAGAATTAATTTCCTAATCTGTGTATATTATTTAGCTAATAACAGCACTCCGATCAATGTAAGGGCACGTGAACCTACAGTTTTCTAAGGTCAGAAAATCCAGTAATAAACTCCAAAGTAACTTGAAATCTAGGTTTTTTTAAAAAAAAACAACCTGCAGCTAATATGGCCCTTCAGTAGCAATTTTCTCATGACGCAGATTTAAACTAACCTGGCACTTTTAACTTGTGGTTGACCAAGACTAAGTGAATTCATGGCTCAGTGAACCTCCAAAATTAGATTAAATCTATAAATTTAGGTTAAGTTTACTAAGGTTAAAACATGATACAGACAGAAGCCACAAGGGAACACATAGATCAATGATTTGATTCGCTATAAGGCAGTTCTTTTTATTTCTGCCTCACAGTGTTTTGTGGCTTATGGCACAGTTAAAAACTTAGAGCAGTCTGAGGGACTGTACTAAAGCATTATGACACTAAACTGTAAAAGTACATATCAAATCTTAAACACAGAATAAAAAAAAATATCCTAAGACAATGTTCTCCGACCTTTCCAGATTTGTGGCCCCGCATGGAGGGGGGGAAAGAGGGTTGGTTTTGTATGAGGGGCAGGCGCGCGTGTGCCTCTACTTGTGCAAGTGGGGTTGTGAACGCCAGAGCCCACCGCAAGCATCAGTAGGGCTACGACTACTGGTGCCTGTGCGCCAGCCCACCATCACATGCCCAGTTGTGAATAGGCCGCAGCTCACAAGTTGGGGACCCCTGCCCCAAGGGACTAAAAACCAAGAATCTAGCCAAGAATCTAAAATTTAATGTAGAAAGAAAATAGTCATCATCTGATGTCAACAGCTACAAGCAGCTGTCTTTAAAAAGACTCGGAATAAGATGGCAGTAGCCACTGAGCAGATGGCCTGTCTAAATTAGAAAGAGAGGGTTTTGTTCCCCTCTTCCTTTCTGGTTTCTGGGGAAATTAATATATTAGAAACACACAAGAGGTAGATGGGGTATCCTGTCAACAAGTAAATCTCAATCAGAATGCAAAGAGAAAATTGCTGCCAACTCTGCATAGGCATCAGGAAGGGCATCTAGCCAATAAACTATCAGCTCCACCCACTTGTCCCAATCCCACCCTGAAGCAAGAGATAGCACAGCCATTAAAAAAAAAGTCAAGCAGGTTAGCTGGCATACCAATAAGGTGACTTTGGTGGCTACTGGAAAAGCCCAAGGGAAGAACACTATTGATGTAAACATTGAAAAGGTTTGAAGTTAGTTCACGAGAGAGGCCTTTTCCCTTTTCCTGCAGAGCCACAGAAAAGGTTTGTGCCATCTCCCTCTTCTTTTGCTAAGTTGTGGCAGAACTGCCAGTGATGGACTTGTGACTTTTGCAGAGAGAAAAGAAGCCTGACGCTATATCTTGTCTTTAGACAAAACAGTGCCAGGGTTAGGGGGTCCGGATGCAGAGAGGAGAGAAAATGCACAGACTCCACATAAAGAACCATGGCTGAACTGTTCTGGGAAACAATTATAATAAGAACTCTGCCCCTCCATTTCATTATATAAAACATTTGCCAGATCAGCTGTGCTCCTCTGAGATAACACCCTCTAGCCCTCCCTTTCCTGGGCTCTCACTCAGGACTGCCTAGTTCCCAGGGTCAGAGGAATCCATGTACTTCTAAAGGCCAGAGTGGTGTGCGTGTGTGTGCTCACGTCTCCAAATCTGATTATTGCAAGACCAGGACCAATCAGGGTTAATGTGTGTTTCAGGGGCTGATACCTGGAAGTTTTGTAGACTTTGGTTTCCTCTCTATTTAGAAGGCAGCTATGTTTAGAAGGACTGACGTTTCCTCTATAGCCCTGATGGTGAACCTGTGGCACAAAGAGTCTGTGGGCACGCCAGCCATTGCCCCAGCCCAGCCCCACTGTGGATGCGTGCACGTCTCCCACCAGCCAGATGGTCCTTGGGTCTCTCCCACGCATGCGTGGGGTGGCAGGGCGCATGCGCGGGGTGGCAGGGCGCATGCACGGGGGAAGTCACACTGCATTTTGGGGCCTTACGCAGTACCCCCGTGAACAGTTTTGGTTTCCAGGTTGATGCAGGAGGCTTTCCAGACCCAAAATGGAGCCCAGAGGGAGGCGGCGCCCCATGCCCCATTTTGGCCCTTGAAAGCCTCCTGCACCAACCTGGAAGCCAAAAATGGGCAGGGGCAGGGTGCATGCATGAGGGAGCGGGGGTGGGGGATTCACTTGTGCAAGGATGGGGGCGGAGTACGCAGGGGGTGTCACACGTGCATTGTATTATGGGTGTGCATGCGTGTGCACTTTCAGCAGGCGACAACAAAAAGGTTAGCCATTACTGCTCTATAGGCATGTAAATAAACCACTTCATGTCTATGGATTTGGGCCTTTTCAGATCTAAAAAGCAGCCATCCAGTTCCATGGGGGTCTCGTTTCCTACTCATCCAGACTATTATCCTATTTGCTGAACATTACAACCTAAAGAAGAACTCTTAAACCCTCTCCATATCTGGCTTTTCACAGTCTACCAATGGTAATCTTGACACCAAAAGCGTTAGTTTAAAGGAACCATGGATCAGAGTGCCAGAATATAATCCAACAACTTTTAGTAGGGATCCTTTAAAAGGTCCTTTTGCTAAGCGTCAGATCAGGAATTCACTGAGCTCTTAGTATACACGTGTTAGTTATTATTTCTATTTAATGTGGAATATCAGTTCTTTGGATGAAAATGAGAATCTCATTTATAAATTTAGTGTTTAATATTGTACTGTAATTGTGGGGTTGAAATCATATTAATCCTGTTTGTAAACAGTTAAAAATAATAATATTAAGGCAGGAAAGTTATAAGCTTTGGTTAAGCAAGAAAGCATCAGGCCAATGAACTTCCTGTCCAGTTGATTCCTATTTATTTAGTCTCTCTGCATATTTGACTACCATTTCAAACTGAAATAACTAGTCCAAGTCATTTTTTTTCAACTTTTTTTTCCAGCAGTGTTTCAATACAGTAAAAAATGGCAAGCTAATTTAATAAGAGCTTTTTAACTCTATTAATTCTAATATTTACAAGATCTTTTTCAAGCTTATGTAAATGAGCACTGCATAAGTTGCATCTTCTAGACATCAAAGATAGTTTTACCATTATAGAATA